AACTCCGAAACAGTAGACCCCGAACCCGGACCCAAACATGCTTTTAGAAGCCCTTTGAGGGAAGTCGCGGAAGGAGGGAGCATCTCGTCGATTCCATCTGATGTGGGAGGCAGCAGCAGGTCCTCTGGGGAAGTCCGCAAGATTCGCTTATTTGCGGTGCACAGGCAGCAAGAGCAGCAACTACGAAGAGAGTGGCGAGGTTATTAGAAAGGCAATTAGAAAGGTGACTGAAGTTACTATAAAGGACATCGTAAGGGTTAGTATATGGAGGACAGCGACCGGAAGTAAATTCACAGGCTGAACTTCTGAACGGAATTCTTGTAGCTCGGTCTCAGGCCGGCAAGCGCAGCACAGATGCACAAACAAAAGCGAAACGCTGCAAACCTTGAACCTCGCAAACCCTATCTCCTAACCGCTCAAATCCACAGAGCTGGTAGAGGCCTACTCCAAACCCTACTATAGGGGCCTTAATAATTAGAATAGGGTTTGGGGGCCCATTATACTATAGTTATCATAAGTTGTATTGGTAATTATTCAGGCCCCTACAGTAGAGGCCTTCCCCAAACCCTAAACCCTCAGATCGCTTGACCCTCAACTGTAGAACTTGGAAGCCCAAGACCAAGCCATCAAACTCAAGACGGTCGAACTCGCACCGCAAACTCAGACTCCCGAAAAGTACACATAAAAATCCCTAAAACCCCAAACCCCTAAACCCTATAAGCCCTAAACCGTCAGACTCCCGAAAAGTGCAACGAGTCCGCGTCCTCCGGCATTGCATTGCTCGTCTGAGAGAATTCGGGCACAGGGCATTGTTTACTTAGGTCTTTTGAGATTTTTTGGCAAAAATCTCACTGCTTACTTAGGTCTTTTTCTGTTGCAGGGTTCACCCCCAAGAACGGACACTGGTCAGGGAAAGAGGTGCCTGTAGCACGTGTTTATACTAATACGCCATGATGTCGTAGAAACCACGCCGGATGGTTTGGCTTGGGGCTTACCACCTTAGTGTGGTGACTGCTTAAACCACCAAAAGTAGGTAAAGTAATGGCCCAACACACTAATAAGCGGCGCCCAGCACACTTACAAAAGGCTATTTTTTCCGCGCATCCTTTTGGGTCCTGGTGGGGCTTACCATTTGGGAGTTTCGGGAAAGTACCTTACGTTGGGGTCCTTATAATAAGGATCCTACTATTTAGGGTAACATATTGGGGTCCCCTATTCTCGGAAGCTCCCATTTGGGAGCCAGGGAGATTGGGGCCTGCAGGTTGCAGGCTTCAGGGGCTTGGAGGCTTTTTGGGGGGCGGCCTAGGGGTTCGGGTGTGCAGAGTCTCATGTCGGAACCTGATTAGGAAACCCTGGGCCTATAACCCCAAAATAGCTTAAGAAACCCTGGGCCTATAACACCAAAATAATATGTTCATATAAGGAGCCCTAATGAAGGCCCAAGGTTCCTTCATCAAATTCCTACATTACCGGACTTGATGAGGATGTCAAGCACGGCAGGAAGCACTCGAACTCGGGGATTCGGAACAGAAAGGACAACAACTCCTAAAGATCTGAGGTTTAGAGTTTACTGGTTTTGAAGGGTTTAAGGCGTAAGGATTGAGGGTTTACGGTTTGGGGGCTGAGAGGTTCAAAAAGGCCCCAGTTCCAGAAGAAGCACCTACTTGTCGAGTATCAGGGGGAGCGAAAGGTTAAGCGAGCGTTGGTAGTATGTTGGGAACGTATATATACACGTTACATGCTCTACTACTCTCAGAAGATAAGTTCCTGACCGAGGGAGTGCCGAAGCTGCCCTGCAGCGGCGTCCTGGGCCGACGAACACTTACTTGCTGCAAGGGTTACTCGAACGGTACCTATAGGGGGTACTATAATATCTAGAGGGGTTACTATAAGGCTGACTATAAGGGTTACTAAGAGGGATACTCTAAGGGTTTAAGGGTTTGGGGCTAGTACACCTGAACCCTAACAAACCTACCTTTTTCGGGTTCCTTGAATATGATTTCCTGGGCAGGTTCTGGTTGGGTTTCAGAATCATGGTAGTTCTCGCTTGTAATATGCACTTCTTGCACTATCCTACGTTCTCAAGGGTGCTTGAAAAAAGGCTCGGGAACCTTAATTTAAGGAATGCGACCCCTTAAACTTGCGCGTCCTGCTGGATTTAAGGCTCCAGTCCTCTGATGGAGTGGGGCATGATTTCTTTATCTGAGCCTAGCGGTCTGATTCTGCCCTGGCCACACGAAACTACATTTAACCATATGAAACATCTGGGATCAATACCTTTGTGAAGACGACCCTGGGCCCTCAAAGTATGTAGAATAATAGGCCACTATTTTGCCTACTGTTGAAGGTTTAGGTAGCTTCAACTGCTATCAGTGAGCCGTTACAGCTGTAGAGACACAACCAAACAAAGAGATTAACAACGTAGCATGGCTCGCAGGCTCTATTAGATCACCTTCTTGGCTGCGCTAAGATCAAAGTCCTAAACCCTACCTGTAGCCCCAAACCTTATAAAATAGTAGGTTATGACCCCTTAAGGAGGCGGTCTGACCCTTAAAACGGTAGGATTTTGGATCCACAGGAAGAGCCTGAGCCGATCCAACCTGATGATCATGCACAGCCGAGGAAACAGACACTTAGCAACATCCGGAAACCTTAAGCAAAGATGACACCCAAGTATTGGAGGACTCAGAAGGTGGGATGAAGGTTGGTGGGATTACGGACCCCTTATACACAGACTCTGATTTTGGGATTACCCCACCTGCCTTCATCTTGAGGTGGGATGAAGGCAATAAAGTGGGACTGAGGATCCCCTATATAAGCACCTACCTTCATCCCATCCGTGGAGCCCTTTGAAATTAGGATTCCCTGTAGGCTTCCGCCTCGGAAGCACTCAACACAAAGCAACCGAGCCCTGATAAAGAACCTTCAAAAGCCGTTCATGAGTATACCTTCAGCCCCTGAACCCTAGACCCCAAACACCTAAACTCTATACTCCTAAACTCCTGGTAAAGCTCGTCTTAGAACATGCAGCAGCTCTGCAAATCCCTCCAGGCTCAGAATCGGACGCGTTGGGTGAAGGTGCAAACATGTAGAGCTTTGCATTTCGGTATGTGGAGTAGTCCTGGCGCGTGGGCGGCGAATTGATAGGTTTGGGGTTTTAGGCTGCCAGGGGCTCGGAAGTTGTTGTGACTTTTGGAGACTAGGGGTTAGGGCGATTTGGGTTGAGGGCATTGGAGGTTTGGGGTGTTAGGCTTTAGCTGGGTGTTCTGGGAGGGTTTCGGGCAGGTTGGGTTTGGGGGTGTTGGGCTTTAGCTGGGTGTTGGGCTCAATGCGAGGGTCGCATAGGAAAAAATCCAAAAGCCATACTGCACAGCCAGGCTCCCCAAGTCCGATGCTGAAAATCTTCTTAACCACCACACCAAAGGCAGGCAGACTCGCATCTACCGTCTAAAGCCTCAACGCCCTGCCTCAACCCAAAACCACTCGAGATGCCAAGAAGCCACCTTTTTTGCAGGATTTGTTTTACATCCCATATTCGGGTTGACAAATGAGAAGCTAGAGACAAGCCTACTATACCCTTGACCCTGAGGTAGTGTAAACTTAAATCCGAAACCTCCCGAGTTCCAAAAGTGCATGCACTCAGCTTGTTGCCGCTGCAAGCGCTCGCAGCATGCAAAGGGCAAGGCAGTCGGGAAACTGCCGAGATATGGGAAACCTAAACGCCCAGCTACCTGTGCTGCGATGGCTTAGGGCCTTAGGGTTTGACGGGTAGAGCAGCTATCCTCCAGGGTTCCGGGTTTCGGGGTATAGAACACTTTTAAAGGTCTTCTATCCTCTGGGTAGAGCTCTGCGGGGAAGCAGTAACTTACTCTCTAGGTAGCTGGGCTTCCAGAGGAAGACTTGAAGCCCGAAGTGCCGGCGTTTTTCAACGCGCCACAGCCAGACAATCCACAAGTGTATGGCCCGAAACCCTGGACCCGAGACCCTCACCTCATTCCTAAACCCCAATGACACCAAAGCCCTAGATGACTACGTAGAACCCTCAACTCAAAAAGCCGAAACAGTAGAAGCCATACTCCTGAATTATCCAAATAAGGCTTAGAGTTTAGGGTTTCGAGTTTGGTGTTTAGGGCTTCTGAAAGAGCAGTCATACGAGTGCCTGAAGCGCAAGACTGCATCTCGGGAGCTATCATACATGTCTTTACAAGAAACCCCACTCCAACGACTCCTGCACCACGGTTCACATCGGGTTCGATTGTCAATTAAGGTTTACAGTTTAATTAGGATCCAGGACGTAGGCCAGTGGCTACTTAGGTATGGGCTGGCATTTGCAAACAAAGGGGCGTGCTGTCATGGCCTGGTGTAGGGCTTACCATCTAGCAACATGCAGAACCAACGTGAGTGCAAAAGCCGACCATAAACCCGCACAGCACATTGGGGAGTGTAGCTGGACTGAACTGCAGACCCCAAACCCCAACCTAAGGCCCGGCATACTTTGATATAACCCTAGAGTTAGAAGTGCCAAGAGTCTACGATAAACAATGATTCACCTCCCTCTCTATGAATTCCCAAAGCCAGTTGCTGCGGCTTGGCAGTGAGACAATCGGGAAGAACGGCTCTTATCCGCAAGGCCGGAGGCCGGGATCTCGCTGCTTATAGGAGCCTTGATCGTTAGAATAGGGTTCCTTCAAACAAAAACAGGATAATATTCCCCCAATCCCAAAGCTTAAGGCCTGCAGTTTTCGAAGTTTTGGCCTTAGAATTGAGAGTCTACGGGATTGAGATGCGCGAGTGTTGAGGGTTTAGAGGTGTCAAACACTTCCTACTGGGAAATGTCGCAAGGTAGGGATTGTGGGTATATGCAGGTACCTGACTTGTATCTACCACTCGAATAGCACCGATGAACCTCTAGGGAAACCGTCCGAAATCCGTATTGAAGACAGCTTCCTGTCATGAGACAGATCCCAGCTTCAGCGCTCAAGCATGGCAGGAGTAGATGTTCATTCGGCCTCGCGGCTGGATGCCGGAAGCATCACAGAGCTTCTGGCTTAGGGCTGACGGCCTAAACCCTAAACTTAAGGCTCAGGTGATTCAAAGCTTCCGACTCCCTGAAGGCCACATTCTTCATGATCCATCTGTAGCCGCGATTTTCATCCATCGTTGCACTTTACACATGTGATATCGTATGTGCATATACATTATATATATATGCACCTACACACAGGCACACACACACACACACACCTTTTTTGGGTGGGTTCTTGTGTTGCTTTAGGGGCATGATACGGTTTTGGGGGGGGGGTGACGACATACTGATTACGAAAGGGTACCAACATGAGTTTCTCAGGCTTCTACGACAAATTTTCCGGGGCCCATGATCGCTGTATGGGTTGAAGGCCTCTACTGCTAAATCCCGCAGCAAAACATCATCTGTGGACCTTTGGGATGTAGGGAGTAGTAGTAGGCCCTAACTACCTAGAGGCTCATACCCTACCCCTTTCTTAGGATACCCAGCTTTATGGTTAGCATCTGCTGTATAGACAAGTAGATACCAAAAAAGAAGGTGTAAGGTATGAGCCTGCAGGCAAACTCTGAACCGTAAAGCCGCAAATCAAGACACTCAAAGGCCTGTCCTTGTCGGAGACCTCGAAGTCCCAACCCAAACTGCCTAAACCCTAAACCCAAAACCGATAGGGCCTGCGGTAGAAGCCCAAGAGTTGGAAACCCAATAGCCTCACTCCTTAAGAGTAGTGTAAGGGGAATCCCAGCACTATTTGTCCTTAATCCGAATTCCAGCTTTTGGGGGTTTACTTTTTGGGTTTAGAGTTTAGGGTTTAGTGTTCAGGGTTTAGTATAGAGTCTAAATTTACGCCTATCGGTGTAGGTAAGCCATCAAACCTTGCCCGCCATCTCCGGAAGTCCTGCCTTACCGACAAACTCAATTGGGAGTTTCGGTAAATAGGGGACCCGAATATAGTATCCCAAATAATAGGATCCTTATTCTAAGGCCCAAAAAACAAGGTCACCCCCCCCACCAATTTTCGAAAACTTCCAATTTTACAAGTATGCACAAACAAAACTGTGAAACCATGATAGAGCCCAACAAAAGGAGGCCCATGAACCCAGGCGCGCACAAACCTCCAAGTAGAATGGGACGCTTCTGGATTTTGAAGCGCAGTAATATTCGTAAACCCTTCTCTGGGCGCTTGAGGCTCCAGGGTGTCGTACAGTCTTGTCTAACGTCTGCGACCGTCTCAACATTGATGTCTAGGATCTGTTTGGAGGGTCTGTCTGGAGCTTGAGGCTTGGACTTCAGCATGCTGCTTTCTCTTGTCAAGCCAGGATTCTTGGTGGGACTATCCTCTTCATTCCCCACACACGCAGCAAACAGTGAGTGATTAAATAGCGTCCATTGACGACGACGCCCCCACAATTCCTCTTCCTCCTCCTCCTCCCATACTGCTCGTGCTCCTCCAACCACTACCACCACCACCGCCGTCGCAGCTACCGCTGTAGCTCTTGCTATGCTCTCGTAAGCAACTGCCATTTTAGTGACCAGCGCCAGTTCTCGAGAAGCGAAAAAGTGGATAAACCTCCCTATACAAAACATTTGCTGACAGGCACCTCTGCGACAGCTGCAGGTGCAGATCCGCCGCCAGGCACCTCCGCGACTGCCGCGGGTGCACTAACCTGCAGACAGGCACCCCACTTCAAGGTTCAATAACACATGGGTCCAGGGTTTACCTGGACCCAAAGCAACCAATTTTTGGGGTTCCTTAATATTGCCTTCCTGACATAAGTCATTAAAGGTAGGCTTTTCGGGGTGAAGGTAAGGGCTGCAACAGCCGCAAGTCTAAGGACTGATGCGTACAGCTTTTTCGCTCCGGCCCTTTCGGTGCCGTTGGCAAATGCTTCCTTAGTTGCTCTGTCATGTTCACCCCGAAATAACTTGGGCTAAGTACCCAAGCCCCAAAAAGTTAACCTGTTCAGCTATGGTAGGACTATCTAAACCCCAAAAGGTTAAAGTTAAAGGTTACCTACTCACCTACTAAGATAACCACTGGAACCCAATCACAGCTTTCGACATATCTCCACAGACTTCTGGCAAGGTCAATCAGGCTACAAAGCTGTCTTGCACGCTACTCCTCTGCATGTTGTGCAAAAGAGCAACTTTGCCCGGTGAAACTTACTGTCGTGGTACTACCATTATAACTGCGAGCCGAAATAGAGATAATATGAAAAGTATAGGCTATAGCAGTCCGTGGACTAGCCGAGTCAAAGATCACCATTTTCTTCATCACAACCATGCGAATCATCTCCGTGTGCACGACTCTTCGACCACTACTGTAACTTTACCAAGACTCCAGTTGCCACTCGTCAAAACACCATCATCACTCTGTAACTGTATAGGCTTTAGGCTCTGGGGTTATACCACCCCGAAATGGTTACAGTTTACCTGCTCTACTTCTGGGTAGAGCCTCGTAGTTCCAAGGCTTTTTTGGAAGGTTCATGGGCTTACGGTTTATAGGAAACTCCAGAAAGTTGGAATATGGTTTCATGGTAGGATACCCTATAATTTACCATAGAAGGGTTAGGATAATCATATTCCAACTTTCTGGCTTTTACCTTAGGGCTTAGAGCATTGGGGTTTGGAGGTTTAGGGCGTTTAGGGTTTTTTGAATGCAGTGGACTTTCTCCGCTGAGCCAGCAGGTCTAGGCCCCCCCCCCCCGCGTCTAGGGTTTAGGGCTTAGGGTTGTGGACTACTCTTCGGGTCTTCAGGTCAGGGTGTGGGGTGTCGGTCTCTGAGGCGCGAGCCTTTTGCCAGTCCATCCTCATGGAAGAAGGTTCCTTATCAGCCAGGGATGCAAGCCAGAATAGTATGGGTAACTATTGTGGCCCTATACAGCAAACCCCATAAAGTTGGAAACCGGACTAAGGCCAAATAGTGCCGGGATTCCCTACACATTACTCTTAAGGAATTGAGGCTATTAGGTTTCCAACTTTTCGGCTTCTACTGTATTACCCCATAGCTGAACGAACGGCACGCCAGGCAGCTTCAGGCACCCAACGCATCAGGAGCAAGTGCAGGCATAAGGAATACAGGTTACCCAAAGGCCCCAGAGTAGTTCATTTTTGGGGTTCATATTTAGAACCCTATAAAGTCCCAAAAAGGAACTGCTATGGAGCTTCTAGGTATTTACAGGGACAAAGCAAAGAACAGTAATGCAAAGCGGACTACATGACAAACACAAGACAAGGCGTCGACATGGCACCCGCACCAAGAGATTGTAACAACTAACACGGGAAAGCTGAAACGAGAGAACGACAACAACTGAACACATACCACCACTGCAGTAGCCAAGTCCAGACAGAAGTACAAATCGCGCTGATGCTTCAAGTGTGGTACTTCTGGCTTGTTGCGCTTGAACATGTGGCGCCCAGGCATGCAGTGCCAAGACAGCTAAGCCGGAGGAAGAGCAGTGCTGGAGTTTAGGGGCACTAGCAACACGACTACCAGCTCCAGTAGTACACACACACACACCTACTTGTCGGGTATCATGGGGAACTAAAGGTTAACTTTCTTGGTTATATAGGGATTCTATAGGGGCTGTACTGCCCAAAAAGGGTTAAAGGTTACCTACTCTACTACTACGCACACTGGTGGAGGTAGTCGTGATGGCACATGTAGGAGCAGCGGCAGAAGAAGACACAGCGGCTGTGGCCGCGGTAGCAAAGTCGTGAGTCATCGTAGTCACCGGTCGTGACGAGGTGGCGGTGGTAGTGGTAGCAGAGGCTCCAGAAGCACAGACGGAGGAAGAAGGAGCAGGGATGGAAGGTATTGGATGGGGCAGGCTCGATATGGTTGATGACACCATCAGAAGGCAGCACCAGCACCAGCTCCAACACGAGCACCAACACCAACACCACACCGCCATCCACCAGCAACTGCAGATGCAACGCTGCACCTTAGCTGGTCCCAGGCACACAATCCTTCGGATCGCGGTAGAAGGAGATTTTGTACACGCTGCCCCTGGTGTCCTCCAGAGAACAATCTTGTACGTTCTACGCCTATCCCTAAGGGGTCAAAATAGCCCAAAAGCCTTATATAGTATGGTCTTTGGGCCCAAAGCCTTAATGTATGAGTCCTTAGATCCCTAGGGCATGCGATGGCAGAGGCCGTACTGTGGTTCGGTAGAAAGAGGGCAAACTGCAGACCGCTGAGCGACAAAACCGGCTGGAATCTTAGAATACCTGCACACTTACCTCATTCATTGATTCCTCCACGGCATTTACCAAAAAACTCCCAACCCCTCAAGTTCTAGAATATGAGAAATCATTCAATAATCATAAACAAACACGGTATGTTGCAAAATTGCTCCCTTGAGGAGTGTTGGAGTCTCACGGGACGCTGAAGAGCACAAGACCACGACGTTTTGTGCTTGCGGAGGACGTCTTAAGAGCTGGGTAGTTAAGACCCCGGGCTCTCGCCCCCGACACTGCCCTGCACCTCAAATCTGAATAGGGCCTCGGGTTAGGGTTTATAAGGTCTGGGATTGAGGATGTAGGATTAAGCATGTTACATAAGGTTAGGATTTGAGATAAAACATGTTATAAGGTTTAGGATTTAGGATAAAGCATGTTACAAGGTTTAGGATGTAGGATTATTGTGCATGTTAGGGTTGTCGGTTTGGGTTCGGGGTCTAGGGTGTTGCATTGCCGTGTGGTTCTTGCAGAAACCAGCTCGAGTGTAGGATAGGGCTTGGGCCTTACGGCAGTTCAAGAGTAGAGTTCTGGCACCACAGAATAATTTCAATAAAAGCAAGGATAAGACAGTACACAAGGGAGCACCTCCCTTTTTGAAGGCACCCTGGCTATATTCCGGGCTAGCGAGCTTATGAAACAAAATCACCACAACCCTTCTGAGACCCAAACACTGCACCAGAAGCCCTTATCGCCTAACCCTAAATCCCTAACCCTTCGACTTCGAAGCACGGACCCAGAACCAGCCCTGCCCGAGTGAAACCAAAACTACGCACTTGAACCCAACAGCCTCAGAACTGAAATCGCAAAAACAACATCTCGGATGCCCAGTAACCTAGGAATTAAAAAGGGCTCCCTTTTTGGTGTTGGGTAACTTTATAAGGAATCTAGGACTACAAAAAGGGGAATGCGGTACTACTGGGCAGCCTAGAATCACGACAATGAATGCTGCAACTCCTGGACCCCTGGAGCCGTTGGAACCAGCTATCCTCGGACCCGGAATCCGAACCACCAAGTTACAGGACCCTGGGAAGTCAGAATAGCCTTGCGCTATAGTATAGCCTTACCAGATGACGGAATCCCAAGGAATGATAGTTTCTTGCGTTGCAATGGACCGCAGAGTCAACCGACGCCTCCAAAAGGAATAATATAGGTAACTATCCAGGGTCCCAAATAAAAGCCCACCTCGATTTTCCAGAGACCGCTCTCGCCGTCGTCGGGGCCTTGGATAGAGAGCGTCTCGTTGCTCAAACACTATTTTGAGTCGTCGTGGCTCTCTGCTTGGCTGCAGGTCTTAGCGATGGAGCAACTACGGCTTGCGTTTCACCGTTCAATTGTAAACTGTGTCCAGGCTTTACGGTCTTAAGGTTTTTGTGTTCCGGGAGAGGTTCTGGACCCTTCGTCTAAGAGGTGTGCATCATTGTGCATCTATGTAGGGTTCAATTACCAAGGGCTCGGGGTTATATACAGTTTACAATAATGAGGGTCAAGGTTTCGGCTTGGAGTCGTCGTCGTCCTGCTGCTGGTGGCTAGTGCTAACGGGCACTAAGGTCTTACGTCGGGTTGTACTGCCACACTAGGGGAGGGAACGTATGAATGTAGAGGCCTTGGATCTTGGAGTAGGGTTTCAGGATACTTGTCCTACAATGCCGTAGGTTGTAGGGACAATGCGGGGATACTAGCAATAACGTCCAGGCCTCTATGTGACGGACAGCCTCCACAAGGAGAAACACAGACGCGGGCCGCAACATCAAGGGTTTACGGCTGTAGCGTAGTAACAGTAATCATCATAAGAACCATATTGAAAAGCATAACAGAAACAGTTAATCGTAACAAGCATAGTCACAGTAACGGTTGGAGCTCAGCCTCGTTCAGACCTTGGTTCATCGAGCTCGCCGCAGCTTTACGCGGACAGTTGAGAGGTTAGAGCCTGTTTCGCATGGCTTGTCCGGCCCTACTGCTGAAAATTCGGCCAGACCGTTCTGCGCGCCGCACGCATGCGCACCTCGGTGGTACGTGCCGTGTCGCCTCGTCTTGCATGGTGTTGCCCGCTCTTGGCGAAGTGACAACATGTATAACCAGTGTAACCAACTATTTTGGCTGACACAATGGTGCGGTTGTGTCAGTTACGGTCGTGACACCAGTGGCGGCAGCAGCAGCAGCAGAGATGCCGGACAGCAACCATGACACCACCGGCCACATCACTCCTCATAGACGTGCTTCGGTTGATGATATAAATCCTGCATGACCCATAATAAGGAATATACCATAATTCCCATAGTTTGGGGTCCTTAAGGTAATGCAGGATTTATACCATCCACCGTTCGATTCCCTAAACTGCGATTCGACTCTTTCAAAAGGGCCAGAACCCGACTTCCCCGAAGCCTCCCCTGGGCAGCCGACCGCAGATCGAAGAGTGTTGGGTGATGGCGACGCCGGCTGACAACGGAGGAGCCTTTTCAGCTCCAAAGGGGCTTCGGCTTTGAAGGCCTAGGAACTTGGGTAGATTTCTAAACTAGGGTTTAAGGTTTAGGGTTTATTTTTTTTTGGGTCCCCTCCCAAAATACGCACAGGACCCTAAAAAAGGGGAACCCTAATCTGGAGATCTACCATGTAAGGGTTTTCGCGGGCTTGGGGATCTGGTGTTCTGGTGTAGCTGAGTTTGGTGCTGGCGGCTTGGATCAGGCAAAATCCAGACACATTTTGACCGTAGACTCTGGGAATTGGCATACTTTCGGCCGTCGCGATCACGCTCGTCATCGTTCTCACCAACTACTTAACATCATCGTCGCCCGCCTTATCGCTGTCGTCATGTCGCCATGTCGTTGTCGAAGCGAAAATTCTAAACCTCGCACAATAGCAACCCCAACCCCCGCCCCAACCCCTCCAGCACCGGCCTGCGGATAGATCGACTGTCCAAGGTCCTGCACAGCATGTCACATAAAGATGATCTTAGCAGCTAGTAGCCATAACTATTCTTTATATCCGCTATTTGGTCCTCTGAGCTGCTTATCTCAACCATACGGCTCATGGGGACTTTGTCGAATGCCCGAAAGTTTAGGGCTGAGTTCGGGGTTTGCGCTGGGAGCCGAGGGTTGAGATTTTAGGGTTGAGGGTTGAGGGTTTAGGGTGGCTTCGGGTGAGGAGTCTTGGGGATGACTGCAGTCTTACATCCCTTCAGAGCCTAAGCCCCAAACCCTAAACCCTAAAGGCAAACTCCTTCACTCGAAACAGCATGGGCTCCCCAGAGAAACGCCCCAGAATCAAACCTATAAGCGAACTACCATCTGCATGAGTAGGCACAAGAACAAGTATGTGTTGAGTAAATCCTTTCCGGGATGCCTTCACCCGCAAAGGGCTGTATATGGGCACGATTTATGGTCAGAGTATACAGGGAGGGAGAGGGGGAGAGAGAGAGGCAGAGAGAGAGAGAGAGGGCGAGCGAGCGAGAGCGACAGAGAGGGTAGAGCGAGAGGTAAGAGGCGGCCAGAAAGCAGGGCAGAGAGATGGAGAGGGAGAGGGAGGGCACATGCACGAGTAGTTACGCAAATGACTGCGTGTACGCATGCTCGATTACGGCTCCAAATCTCAGACTCTCTCTCTCTCACCCTCCCTTCCTCCCTCCCTCTCTCTCGGGCTCTATGTGCCCCGCTATATGTCTTTCTCTTCCGAACTCAAAATTTCCGACAGTTTCGGTGACGCCATGAGGCCTTGTTGCGGACGACCTTGAACTCCAGTGGCTCGGATGGCAGCTGCACCTGGCTGCGGAGGAATAACTTTATTTAGGGTTTAGGGTTTAGGGTTTAGGGTTTAGGGTTTAGGGTTTAGGGTTTAGGGTTTAGGGTTTAGGGTTACTAGGCTTGGAGAAACCTGGAGTAACTGCTCCTGTATAGAGTGCTTTGAAGGGTTCTGAAACGGGTTTCTATAGGGGATTACCCCAGAATCCCCTAAACCTGAAGGCGGGGTTAAGCGTGTACGAGCTTTAGGGTTCAGGGGTTTAGGGGTCCTACACAGTCAGCTTCAGCAGGGAACGAGCTCAGATTCTTATGAGGGACGAGCTGCGTGCTCAACAATCGGAGCATCGGCACCGGATTGTGCGAGAGGGTACCCCGGCAAAACCTATCTGTTGTGGGACATGGGACCGAATTTTCAGGTCTGTTACCATACCGTTTTCAGCACAGACACATGCACGGGAAAGTTTGAGTCAAAAAACCCTGGAAGCCTCATAAGGGCTTTTAGGGTTTAAGGTTTTGGTTCAGGGTTTATAGGGTTTGTAGGGTTTAGGGTTTGGGGTTTTGGTTTAGGGTTTAGGGTACTGAAACATGCACGCTGGTCCTGACGTCGATCGAGCATGGACGGGGTGAACTCATCTTCAACCCTAAACCCTAAACCCTAAACCCTAAACCCTTGTGGTCCCTCCTTTACTGATCTGAGTTCGGGGCCTCAGTTTCGGTTTCTTTAGGCCGATCAAGTCGCAGGTCCAACAAGTAACTGAGTAAGACGTCCGAGCATGGTGTGGGGAACCCAAAAGCCAGACATAGCTGCGACCAGCCCTAAAGACGACATGAACCCGAAAAGGGTTTAAGGTTCTATACCACAATAGGGGTTCACAGTATTAGGGCACAGGGTCCTCCCCGACTCACCATTCAGAGAAGCCCTGAACCCTAACAACCCCAAAGCCTCAACCCTAAACCCCTACCCCCTCAACCCTAAACCCGATAAGCCCTAAACCCCTTAAACCCCTAAACCCCTAAACCCCAAAGCCCCTAAACCCTAAACCCCCTAAAACCCTAAACCCGTACACCCCCAAACCCCAAAGCCCCAAACCCTAAACCCCGAAACCCGAAATCCAAGTCGTCGCCGGGCCTCTGCACTGTACCAGCCTTGGCGCCGCCTCCGAGAACATTACGGTTTGGGGCTTAGGTACGGTTTAGTTTGGGTTTAGGGCAGTTTAGGGTTTGGGGTTTAGGTACGGTTTAACTATAAGGCTTAGGGCAGTTTAGGTACGGTTCTATTTGGGGTTTAGGGCAGTTTAGGTACGGTTTAATTGGGATTTAGGCCAATTTAGGGTCGTATATTGTCTAGGGTTTAATTTGGGGTTTAGGGTAGGGTTTGGGGTTTAGGTACAGTGTAATTAAGGTTTAGGGCAGTCTAGGTACGATTTAATTCAGGTTTAGGGCAGTTTAGGGTTTTATATAGTCTAGGGTTTAAGTTTCATAGGGTGTCGCGTTTGTCAGAGTTGAGAGGGTTAATGGTAATATGTTCCTCTCATAGGCCTTATTGAAAGACTCGTCGGGTTGAGGGTATTAGTAGTAGCTAGAGTAGGGTTTTGGGCCCATTATACTGTAATTCTAATCAGGAGTTCCAAAACAGTATAGGTAATGATGTAGGCCCCCACAATATGGGCCTGAAACTTTAAACCCCTCAGCTTGATTTATGGAGGCTTTAGGGCTTTGTTGTTGGCCTTTAACAGTGAATCCCAGACAGTTGTGGAAACTGGATCTGGGATAGCTCATGCTGGGATGCCCTATACTGTATCTTAAGGGCATGAGGATAAACAATTTTCAACTCTCTGTCTTCTAAACCCTAAATCCTAAGCCCTAAACCCTAAATCCTAAACCCTAAATCCTAAACCCTACACCCTAAACCCTAAATCCTAAACCCTAAACGCTCTTCAGGCTCATGGTGTCCAGGCTTGGAGGATGTACGGTCGAGGAACTGATGTCTCGGGGTGGCCTGAAGATCACATGTCTCGCATTCCGGCTTGCTCATAGGGTTTAGGGTTGAGTTTAAGGCTTAGGATTTAGGATTTAGGGTTTAGGTATTGTGATTTAGGGTTTAGGGCTTGCTGCAAAGGATCAGGCGACATAGTATGCGTGTTCTAGTCTACTAGATATAACGTTGCGTAGAAGGACCCCCAAACTTTAAATCGTGGGTGCTTTCTAGCTCCAGGCTCCACTTATAGCTAAACCGCCTACTTAGCAACCAAGCCTGCAAGTGCCCACGTGGCCATGCAAATCAGACTCAAGCGTTCCATGCGGGTTCAGAGTTTCGGATTTTCGTTCATTTCAGGTGTCGGGTAGTTAAGACTGACGACTTACCTTTGGTTAGTAGGGAATGGACGAATGGTAGTAATAGTAGTTGTAATTGTACCCCATTCCTCCATTTCCTACTAACCAAAGGTAAGTAGACGAGGCTTTGTGCAGCCTTGGCGCATCGAATTTGGGTGGGAATTGGGGCGTTCGCTTCTGGTCTTAGGGCTTGGAAGGGCTCGGACTGTAGCGTGCAGATAATGTAAGGACCTTGCTAATCAGAATAGGGATTTGGGGCCCATTTTAACAAGGAGCCCCCAAAATAGCATTGGAAATTTTGTTAAGACCCCGATAGTATACAGCCACCGTCAAGCGGCTTGCCTGAACACCTCTCCCTAAATCCTACAATATAGATCACAGTAGACCACCCTGAACCCAACTTGTCCGTGACCTGCGGATGCCAGAACTATCTGGTGCCATCTCCACCTTGCAGCTGCTGGGGTTAAAGGCTTCTCGTGCTTCGGACGGAGGCCTGGGGGCTGTAGAGTTCCCCCTGAAACATACCGTAAGATACCATAAAATACCGTAATACGCTATGACATACCATAAACTACTGCAATATACCGGAATAGCTGAGCATGGCTTGTTTTCAGAGGGTTTTGCAGGATCTCCAACCCACACTCGAGATCCAATTCCATTCTCTACGGGTTTGAGGCTTCCGAAAAGGTTCTGCAAGGGTTGCTGAAGTTTGTTTCGCGTCTAGGGATTCATGCAGCTCTGATGTTACATGTTGCCTTGCCAAATCCGGTGTGCATTACCGAAGGCGTTCAACAGTGGCCCGCCGCACTTTGACAAGACCTGCTCAGACACTGGCACAAAACCTGAACTCCTGCGAATCCTAAACCGTAAACTCTAGAAGCCCTAACCATAACTGAACACAAAGCACCGCAAGTCTACATTATTATTCCATCCCTGACCTGACCCTAAACCTGAATACTGTATCGACCTCAAGGAAAGCCGACACCCAAAGACGACACCCGAAGCCCCGACACCAAAAGCCTCAGGATCCACCAGTCTTTCAAGCTGAAGCCTTAAGGCCTGACGCCCGTGACTCGAAATTCGTAACCCGAAGATAAGTAGGAGGCTTTTGGACCCAAAGACCGAACTGTACAAGGCTTTGAGGTTATTCTGAGCCTTAGGCGTTAGGCCGAACAGCAACCTCCAGCCGCTGAGACCCGGGCAAACTCCTCCCCATAGAAGGACCCAGCAAGGTAGTACTTTCCTGTGTTCACCGCATTCGCGGTTCAGGGTGAATTGGAGCAGGAGCGACTCATTCAACACCTTCAATCCGAAACAATCAGCACAAAATCTCTAGAATAGAATCTAGAGAGGAATCAGGATACCTCCTAAACCATGAACATGAACGCAACAAGTTCTAGACTAGAGTCGAGACAGGCTTGAGGATACCAAGGCGTTCTCTTTCCGGGTTTAGGCTTGTGGGATCCACGAATTTCGCGGTTTCAGGTGCCAGTGCCGGATTTCTCGAGGCTTCGATACACTACAAGGGCAGACTTTGCTTCGTACGATACGGCGGAGCTGAGGAATTCGGCAAGATTCGGCTTTGTGACGTGCCATAAGTCTTGGTTCTTACAGCTTACGATCGTAACGTTGCTCTTTGACGAGTTAAACGGCACTCATACTACCCCGCCAAAAAATTTTGGCCGAGCAGAGCCGTCGCAAGAGCAAAACCATATGCGAAACACAAAACACGTATGCAACTCACCGGAGCAACACATCATGGATCTTGAACCCTAAAGCGAGTGTTCAGGAAATGCCACAGTCTACACAACTTTGCGCAGATATGAAGCCTGGCATGATCTTTGGCGGCTGCCATTCCTGCCGCTTCGCCCGACTGTCGCAGTCCGACAATCTTGAAACTCAAGGCTCAGAGCTCAGTCAGATGTAAACCCAAACCTCTAAACCCTAGACCGTTTACCCTGAACCACCAAGCCCCAAATCCCTAGACCCTGAAACCCCGGACCCTTAAACCACAAAGCTGAAAACCCTGCGAAGGCCTGGTGTCACCTCGCCCTTCTCGTCAGCCAACTTCTCCCAAGCGATCTCTTTCAGCTTCTCCCACCTACAATTTCAGGGTTTAGGGTTAAGGGGTTTAGGATAGTTTAGGGTTATCCTACCTACAGCGTATCGCAGAAAGTTGGATGATTAGTGCTGTGAACCCCTATAGCTCACCCTAAGGGCATGAGGAGAATCTCTTTCAACCTCTCCCACCTAGAGAACTTGCGGGCATTGGGGCTAGGATGTCGCATTTGTGGATGGTTATATTGATATGTGCATATATGTATATTCACTCATTTATTTCAGTACTTGTTTACACACCAACACATCCGTTCATGTATAAGTAGATAATGGTGTGTATATATACACATGTGTAGTATGCCTGTATATATGTACATACATATGTAAACTACTATAACACATGCATAGACATAGATACGAAAATACAAATGTAAGGATGGATACATGTATATATCTACATGCAAAGACAGAAAGGTGCGTATGTAGTTAGATTGTTCGACGGTGCAAAAGAAGTAAAGATAGGTAGATAGACGGATCGATAACATAAAACAGTGGTTAGATAGGAAAACAAGCAAATACATCCAACTTGGACTTGCAGCCAGTCTGCCACGTTGTGTACTTAACCGGAACCTGGAACCAGTAGCACGGTGGGACCTGAGTGGAGGTTGTGTGCTTGAGGTTGTCAACAAAGGGGTATAAGGTAGGGACCTTAATGATTCGAGTGGGGTTTTGGGTGTTCCTCACTTTTATTACAGTATATCTTACATCAAAGCCCGATTCCAAGTATTAAGGCCCCTACATTAGGATCATAAGACCTAGGCCCTAAGCTCTATAACAGACTACAGGTACATGTGTTTCTGTACATGGTGTAATGATAACCTTTACGTGGACTGCAACTAAACATACTGTCGCAACTTTATTTCTGACCCGAAGATCTAACTGCAGTTGTCTTACTTACAACCCTGCCTACTAAGCCCCCGATGAACCGTCTTATAATAAGGAACCCCAAAACCCATCTCTCATTATTAAGGCCCCAATATTTTATAGTAACCTTGTAGAAGATCCCTTATGGTAGCCTTTAATTATAGACCCCTACTTATTAAGGCCCCTACATTACGTTCATTATTAAGGGGCCACTGGGGAACCGTGGTAAGCCCGAAACCCTAAGCCTGTAAACCTCTAAACCTCTAAATCCTAAACCTCTAAACCCTAAAGCTCTATTCTAATTATTACCCAGGAAGCCGCCAGCCTGAAGGTGATGAGGTACTTGTCCCCTGGCATGCCAACCTCATGAGTCAGAAAGAGGCGAGGGCCTTCAGGGTTTAGGGTTTAGGGTTTTAGGGTAACCCTAAACCCTAAACCCTAAACCCTTCAAATTGGGAAAGGGTTTAGGGGTTTTAAGTGCTTAGCGTTTAGGAATATTGGGAAAATGGTTTAGGGTTTAAGGTTTAGGGGCGAGGGCCTTAAACTTGGGAGAGGTTATCAAGTCGAGACTAACTTGCTTATTGCTTGTAACTCAGAGCCCGACTTATATCCGACCTCTGAGTAGCTGGCCTTCTCATCTCTTGAATTCTTTCACGTACGACTAATGAACGCTCACAACTCACAATCAGTGGCCCAAACATGATAGGGCTGAGGGTTTAGGGATGCTGGCCCCAACATGATAACATACGGTCGATGATATGAATCCTGCATAACCCATAAAGAGGAGTATACCATAATTCTCATAGTCTAGGGCCAGTACGGTCATGCAGGATTCATAGCATCAACTGTATGAAGAGCCGCACCCCTCCGTTATCTGACTCCCGAGCAAATGACCGATAGGGGGTCACTCTTTCTACCAATCTCCGACACTACCTATTTCCGAACTATCACCAAACAACAGCCGAAGGGTTTCGGGTTTAGGGTGCCTGAAAAACCACCCTAAAAAATGCCCGACGTCTTAGCCCGCGGGCCGAAAAAACGGGTCCAGCACATAAGCAACACGATGAAGAGCAAACCTAAGAATACAGTAAGAGCCATCCCCATCACCATCACCGTAATCCGCATCCTCGTCATCATCATCACGCCATCATCGTCATAATTCTGTGAAATCAGCACCATCACCATCGTACATCAGTGGAAAAAGTGCATAGACAACGAAATTGGATCTGATAGAGCTCACAAGCACACACACACATACTAAACTTACCAAAACATTACCATAACTGGACCACAGTGTTGGTCTCGACATAGGCGATAAGCTTCGTAACTTAAGACATGACTGCTGGCAATCCGTTCTTACCACCCGTACCGGCCATAGTACCCGTAGTAGAAATCGTCGTCGTCATGGCTGGTGGTGATTATCGCGGTGATGGCGGAGGTGGTGTACTGGTATTACTAGTGTCGCTAACCGATTTAGCTGGCTTAGCTCTTCATTGTAAGCGGAGACCCCGCACCACAACCCCGAAAGCAAATCAGAAGAAGTAAATCCCGCACGAATCATCTACCGCACATACTCTGAGCACCGCAAATGCGTGCAAATCCTACACCTTCACCCTACACCCAACAAGCCGCAAACCCTGAATCCTTAAACCCCAAAACTCTGAATCCTTGAGCCTGCACACCTGGTCTTCAGGGACATTGACACGGGCACGGCAGTCGAGGAGCCACTCCTCAGCCCAAGAAAGGACTCATCCAGGCTCAGGGCTTTAAGGATTTCACGGCGTCAGGATATAATTGAAATGCGTACGGGGTTTGAGGGCATTGATCCGAGGGCTTAGAGCTTTGGGGTTGCCATAAGACTAAATATAACGGTTCGGCCGTCTATCTAAGGACTTCTAGTAGGGTTGAGAGCTTCGAGTTACGGGTTAAGGGTTTAGTTAGGGTTCAACAAGTGCTTGTGGGCTTTCCGCGGAAGTCCTCTTGGAAGTCGTATATTTGTGGGACTAGATGATTGCAAGGCTCTCATGGGTTGGCCGCCTACTCTTGGAAGAGGCCAGCACACCTGATAACCCCAAAGGTCCTCGGTACCATTACGGGGTTACTTCCCCAGTTGATATTGGTAAGTCCTAACATAGAGACCCCCGATCCACTATATATTTACTTAGGACTCCTTGGGTAAGCAGCCCATAACCCTGAATCGTAGATTCAGTCCGGGCTTGGGTGAAGGAGGCTGTTCAGCTCAAGATGTCCACCCCCGCTTCCTCTGACATCTACTGCAGAAGGCTGGGAAGAAGCTACACCAAAGTCGATGATGGTAGCTTGAGGAGCTAAGGATCCACTACAGGTACGGCCTAACATTTAAAGAGTAGCAGCTTGCAGAGAGTAAGAGAACCTTACTTCTGGCTCAGCTTGTAGCCTATCCTCTCAAGTCTTTTGATTATTTTGCCACACCCCTACCCAGAGATCCCAATACCCCTTAATCAAGAAACATACCTTAACCTATAGGGGGCTTAATAGTACGAATTAAGGTATAGTCCTTAATCAAGGGGTATCGGGATCTCAAGGCAAACGCTAAACTTCTGAGCAGCTAAGCAGGGTGAGCGACAGAACTCCTGTGTCGGTTCTTTTCGCGCCTTAGGCTCCGTCTCCGTGCACATAGCCGCCGCAAGGGTATGTGCGTGAGCCAGAGGCTCTTGCACCCTCGAGCCAATGGCACCCTACAAGGAACCCGCGAAGACCCGAATCCCTAACATCCCTTAGGAACCGTACCATCGATATCATAATACCGAATCCCCTCAAAGTGGGTTTTTGAGGGTTCCAGGTAGCCCTGACCTTAACCCTGAAGAACCTACCTTTTTGATGACATATAGAAGGAAATCATAACAGGGAACCCTAAAAAGGTAGGTTATTCAGGGTTAAGGTAGACCCTAAACCTCACTCAGGTCGATCAGCTCTTTTGAAGACAGCCTGCAAGCTGCCGAGTGCTCGGTGTTTACAGGGTTCGGGGTTAACCTAAATCCTAAACCCAAGACCCTATACTCGAAACGTTGCGCCCCAAACATCCCTCAAAACTTCATACTTCGGGCTTTGATGTGAAGATGCTGCACGAGGGTTGAAGGTTCAGGATTTGGCATTCGAAGTTGGCTTTTGGGTTCATGGTTTTGTGTAACATGGCGGTTTAGGATATCTATGGCAATAGGATACTGTAGGGGTTTAGGATAAAGTAGGGGCGTTCGGCAAACTGAGCGAGGGAATCGTTGTGTTTAGTCTGTGTTGACGCGTCGCGGCATTTTCGCCGGTGCGCCAGATATGAAGATCTGCCATGGACGCCCGATTAGGGGTTGAGGTTTAGGGTGTAAAGCCGCATTCCAACGACGATTTGCCTACAATACAATCAACAGCTGTTGAGCTTCTCCTGAGCCCTAAAAACCCCGATATTGTAAATAGAGTGTCCTTGTAGAGACGATTGCGAACTGAAGCCGCATGACTTTGCATCCGTGGCAACTATCACACCTCGATGAAGTCCGAAGATTCCGCTGACGGTTGGGAGTGCTCAGGGCATCTATAGGAATACCATGAAATAAACCCTATGCCCCCAGCACAAAGGGTCCAAAGGACCCAACAATTAGGTACTTACGTTTCAGGATAGTAGTTATGTAGGTTACTATTTTGGAGAGGATATGACAACAAGGTACTTGGACATTTAGGGTAAGGTCCACATGGATGTCCCTGGCACCCAGAGCTGGCCTCCTTGTAGTACTGCAGCTCCTGCATTGCACGAAAGAGGCGCTGTAAGGGTTCCCCCAGCGACTCCAATATGGGAGTTTCCGACAATTAGGGGAACCTTGTCTTGGGGTCCTTGTAATAAGGATCCGATTATGAACTTCTCTCAGAAGCCTATCCCTGAGGGTTCATGTACCCAGATGGGGTATACATCATTGGCCGTGAAGTAGTCCCAATTTAGGTACAGTGGGGCCAAAGTGTATACTCTTTGGTTACATGGACTCTTGGGTCAGAAATCCTGGAAATGTTCAGAGCACGGGTGTCTGATGCTTCTACGGTTTGGGTATATTCTTAGTGGCTTTCCCCTCTCGGTGTACCGATCAAGCATGGCATACTAATGCGGTTTAGGGCTTCTCGTGGTTTCAGGCCGAGAAGCTTCTCAGTGTGAAGAGCTGGTAGTACTGGGTCTGCGAATTACATCAGCGACTGCCAGCCAGTTTGATCAGAAAACCGGTGACCGCTCTCTAAGCCTCGCTTTGGCTAATGTAGAGACTCTCGCTACAGTCCCCTTATCAAAAAAGCTCTGACCTGATTCGAATTATATAAGAGGCCTGTATCAGCAACACTATCACGGCTCTCAATATCGCCCTTTTCAGAAACCTTATTGGGAGCTTCTGCATCGCCTACATAAAGCCGTACTTGGGGTCATGGGTTTTCGGATGTCGGGAGTCCAACCCGGCGCCGAATGCCAATACTTTGGCGTTCCTCTTTCCCGGGAAACCCTACTAGAATTTAATCAGGAAGGATTCAGAGTTTTGGGGTTTAGGGTGTAGAGGTTTAGGGTCTGGACATGTAAGAAGGCGCGCCTGCAAACTTTCTCTGATGTCGTCCAGCGCACGATGCGAGCCGCGCTTGCGCGGTGCTGCATCTGAGCTTGCCGCAGACGGGGTGCAGATTGAGGGGAAGTGCTCGTCTCGTCACAACGGAAACTTGCGCAGATGTAAGTCACAGCGGTATAGACGAATAATCGGCTTGATGATAAATCAAACGAAGCCAAAAATGTGTCGTGAGCTGCGACATGCGCATTGCCAGTGACCTCCTACCTTTAGACGCTAGGCTTATCACTGACATATCCAACATTGAAGGAAGCTCTCGGCATTGCAGGTCCTCTTGAAGGGGATTCAACAAAGGCCCTAGTATATAGTATAGAGCATGCATTTCCTTTTCTGGAAAAGAAGAAGACTTTCTATTCAGAGTAAGGGTTGGGATAGTATAGCATGGTTAGATAACGTAACCCCAGAAAGAATGTATCACAGCCATCCTTGAGGCCCTTATGCTGTGCGGGCCTTAGTAGAGCATGAATAAATGGGTCCCTGTAGCCTGCAATCCAAACCGTCTCTGCCAGGTCACCGAACTCAGCAGGAAACCATCTGCGGCTGAGCTCCTCTTTTAACCAACTTGGCAGCATTCCACATTTCCGATACCGTAGGTTGGAGAACAAAGATACTGACGGTTTCAAGATTGCACGAGCCATCAAACCCGTCTATCCTGCAGTTCACTTCCTCCACCACGGATCCGAACGAAAACTGATGGTTTCGGCTTTCAGGGTTTGTGGTTTCAGGCATAATCATGAAACTCAAACTTTCAACATGAAGTCCTTGATGGTGCTGACATCTACCAGTCGGTAGTGCATGTGCCCAGTAAACCGCGGACAGAACTTGTCCAGGAATCGCTTGTCCATGTGAACCTCAAAGAAAAGCAGCGCAACAAATGCCACAACATATCTGCAATGCAACCAGGCTCATGGCCGCAAGAGTACCGCCTTTGAGAAGCGTGCCGTAAGACTACGTACCCTAAATGCATTCGAAACCGGATAAAACCTGAAGTCTATGAAAACATTGAGCGCTAATTGCCTACCAACCACTTGAACTACTTGGCCTGGCTAGGGCTTAGGGCTTTGGCAAAATCCCGAGGTTGACATGTGGTTATGTCGGTATCCGTTTCTGTTTCTGATATTTCAATTTCTAGCTCGCAGATCACAAGCGAAGGCGGAAATCGGGAATCATGCTAAACTTGGAAGAGTCCAGAGGGTAGATGGCACGGAACGTATTGGCTCCCAAGAGCGACATGACTCACAAACACACTTCTTAAACCCCAAACGCCGAAAGCCTAAACCCCTAAACCAGCCCCAAAGGGTCCAAAGTAGTGTTACGGGGGGGTACTTCATAATAATTGTTGCTAATATCAGAACCCTACTTCTACCATAAAGGTACTTTGGAACCTTTGGGAGCTGAAATGCAAAGGCGCCTGTGCCGATTCTCTGAGAGCCGGGCCGTGTTCCCCGCCAGAACGCCTTTGCCCTGCTTCACGTGCCTCTCATGTCAGGAAATATCGATTTTCGGACCGTAACGCAAACTCTTATACCCTAAAATACTGAAACCCTATACACCTTACAAACCCCGAAAACTGAAACCGTAACCTAGTGAGTGATTTGGGTGGAGAGCGACCTATAGAGATTTATCGATGAGGTCCTTCTGCTGATGGAAAACACTGCTTCGCGAGGGTGCTTTCAATCAGTTAAAAGTTTACAGGGTTCAGGCTTTAGGGCTTACTCCCTGGTCCAAAAAGGGTAGCTGCAATCCCTAGAACAACGTCCCGCCAAATCCTAACTGATACTGCTCCGAACACTTCGGGGTAAACAGAGGGGTCCTTGAAACCCTCCTACTATATCAGAATCCTGGTACGTCGGTGTCTACGCCGACCTTTTGCCCCTTATGATCAGGATCCTGCTACGTATGTGTTTAAACAAGGCTTGGGGCTTAGAACTCAGTCTTGCCGAAGCGCTTAACCTTACCACTTCGGGGTCTATGCCCAGAGGTCCCAATACCCCTTAATTAAGGAATAGAGCTTTAATTATAGTAAGATCCCAAATATGATTTAAAGTATATTCCTTAATTAAGGGGTATTGGGTTCTCTGGGTGCTCGGGCCTGCTTGGGTTTCCTACTGTCAGAAACTTCCCTCCGCTGGCTCTGGGCGGACGCACCGGGCCTGCGTCTAGAATTAATAGGCTTCTGATGGCTTGGGGTTGAATCTGAGACACTATATTACACAAAATTCCAACAATATTGTATTATAGCATGAATAAAGTTTCAGGAGCTGGGCTTAAAGGTTGAGGGTTACGAGTCGGCTTTCCAGTTTGGCAATCAATATGCTCATGAACACGATTAACTTCTACACCAATTCTGCGGCTCGTGCTGCGTTTGATGTTTTTGTACGCATTGCTAAAGTTTTTTATAGTTGAAAACTTCGTTTAATCAACCATCTTGCATACCCTCTCACTCTACCTGGAACTCAACCCAGGAGAGACGCAATCCGGTAAAACTTCCAGGAAGAAGAGCAAACTGATATGGGCACTGCACGCCACCACGAATTAGGGCCGCGAACTATGTACCAAAGCTCAGAATACTCAAGCTGAAATGCCCCTGGCCTGGACAAGAACTCGTGGAGTATGACATCTGCTTCGGCAAGGCTGATTGTCGACTTCTGCACCTTCCACGTTTTGTTGCAATGTGCTTGGATGCCAGGGTGGCCCAGCAATAAGAAACTACGGCCGGGGCTATAACCAGAGGTAAAGATAACAGTATGCCCGTTAAGATATTTGCAACTCACTTTACAACCTATTCACTACATTCCACGATTCGTGTGAGAACCCTAAATTCTGTTTGACGGCTTGTAGGTTCTCAGAGATATGGATTTCCCAACCTCCATCCTCGACCTTATGTCCTAACTGCCCTCAAATGCTTAGCAAAGAGCCAGAGTGGTGGGTGTGCGTATATATATATATATATATATCTATATATCTATATATCTATATATCTATATATCTATATATATATATACATAGAGAATAACAGAGAACATGAGAGCAAGCTACCTCAGCATATCTTCGTACTTGGCTTGCCATGCTTACGTCTGTCCTCGTGCGTGTGTGTGTGTGTCGGTTCGGACGTGGGAACAGAGAGTCTAGGAGACTTTCCTGCTGTTTTTTTATTGGCAGGTGCTTATTGTCGCAAGAGTCGCCGAGTGTTCTGAAATGCACAGGTTGATATTCTGTGAGAGAGCAAGAGTGCATTCAGGATTATAATAAGTGTGCATGTGGCATAATTCGACTGTCTTTGACTTTCTCACCTTGTATGGTCGTGCACTGTCCCCAAACTCTAAACCCTAAGCCTTACCCCGTAGTCCAGTGTCTTTGCCAGTAGGCAAACGGATATGCGGAAGACGGAGCAGCCACACGACTAGTTGAGTAATTTGGATGAATGCAAAAGTGAAGCATCTTGACGACACCTCTGCACAATACCAGCCGGAGGAGAGTACCTGCGGCCCACTTTTGACGAAACCCATCACCACAATGCTGCTTTTGAAGCATTGGAACAGTGCCGGAGAAATACTTGCCTGCTTCGGGACGATCACATCGAGGGTTTGTGGTGACGCAAGCTTCATATATGCGTAGTCGGCTAGTAGGGTGGATCCGGGCGGACATTTTAGGCGAAGTATACAATGGTGATAAAGTGGTCTGCTGACTCAGAACGATCACGCG